GCAGTTTCTATTAAGGAATACCTAAAATCACATGCTTATGCAGCACCAATGCATGCATATTACTACAATTTATAACGTAATTAGTATTTTTTAGTATAATATATTATCTATAGTATATTAGTGTATGATTTGGCTACTATTGTGCTTATTGCGTTAAATTAGAATCCTAATGTGATAAATGGTGCCAACTAAGAGTTATTTTGGTTTGAGATTTTGATTAGAAGGAGATAGATAGGAATTCAAACCTATGCATCACAGTCGCACCAAGTCTTGCCTTGCTTCAGCCATTCTGAACTCAATTGGCTAATTAATGGGAGTAATCCAGAGAAAATTTTGGCATAGAACTTGGTCAAAGAAGCTTAAAATCGTGATATTCAAAGAGTAAATGATCATTGAGGACAAAAAGACTGATAAGAAAAAAAAAATGTATATGAAGACAAACAACTACTTAGAAAATAGAGCATGAATTAAATTAGTTACCGCATACCAAGTTTAAATTCCCATTGGGACCTTCATTCCGTCTCTAGAATCTTAAAACTCGATCGTTGAATTTGTCCTTGGGAATTTTAAGCTTTTGTATTAGTGGCCTTAATCTTGAATTTTGTTAATCTCATATATATTAACATGTTCTAAAGTACACTTTAATAAGATGAAATGATCATAGATTACATAGATGAATTAATTCCGATCGAGGTTAGATGATCACTAAGTAGGACCAACATCAATACTCTATGTGGATGTCCGAGGGATCCTTAATTTTCTACTTGATGTTCTAGTCACCTTTTAAGGTTAAGAGTGCAATTGATGCCGTAGGAATGAAAAAAGAAAAGACAGAATATGAAATTTCACTTACAAATGAAACTGATTAAATTTTGGAATTGTTTCATCCTCTTAACACAACAAGCAATAAGATATATTTAGAGGTGGCTTTTCTTGGCATCATATGGAGCATTATGTCTCCCTTATGGACTCCAAAATTAGGAGAGTGCCAAATGCCCAAAATTGCAGCGCCTACCCATCCTCCAACCAAAGAAAAATGTGCTGGAGACTAACTGCTCCTATAATTTTCTAGCCTTTTGGGTTGTGAAAGTGGAAGTTGTGTTCAAATCTTCCTGTGGCCGTTTGCAAGTTGTACTTACCCTAAAAGTTGATGCCAAAAATAGACAGCTTCACAAGTTAACCAAACGAGGAAACTCTTCGATTGTTGTCCATCTGGTCCCTTTGCTCACTTTGTGGAAACAAAGAATGAATTCTCTATTTGTGGTTTCTGAAAGAATGTGGCTATCTTTCCATGCTAATTTTGTTGTCTACTTTTTCTGGTACATGCTTCTCTGCTGGTTGGTTTTTTAGTTTAGTACTATTTCATTCGTTATTGTGTGTGTAAGCATGCCAAGAATGTGTTTGCAGTTGACTAATATAAGTATTTCTAATAGATTTAGATCAAAAACTAAGAATGAGTTGTACAAACTCGTGCAGTATTTACTACGAAGATAGTATTATAAATTGAATCCGCTTATAAAAAGTGACTGTAAATCACGATATTTCTAAGTGATAGATGCAAATATGAGAATCTCTAAAATCAATGAGATAGATTATCGATCCTTTAGTTTGTTTTTATCGCTTAAATCACATGTCCTTTAATATAGGATGATCAAAATTTGATCATCCCATCCATCTCTAGCAGTAAAGCTAATGGATATAAGGGCAAAATTGATGGAATTTTTTTTTTTTTGGTTATTATTGAGAGACTAATTCAAGTCTTGAATAGATAAAAGGCCAATTGTTGACGGTTAAAATAGTTTAAGATCTCCCTTTCCTGTTTGTTTGTTTTTTAATAGAAGTTCTACCTTTATATACTACTTTTAGCTCTTTGGACAATATGGGCTGTAGTTGACTCACAAATGCATACAGAGGATTTATTTTCAGACGTTGGTCCATCAGCCTAACATTGGGCTCGTTACAAAGGTCAAACTTTTCTTTAGTTCCGTCGGCTAACCTTTAAATTCCTAGTCCCAACTGCACTTCGGGCCAGCTTTAATTTGATGAATAGGCCTACTAGAATGGCACTTTTTTACAGCCCTTGTGGAACCGTAAACTTAGCTTGGCAAGTAGGGTTATTAATAGCTTGTATTCCCCAAACTCGCTAGATGACCGTGAGATTTCCTGTTTGATTTTTAATCTCGCTCCTTCCCCCGGGCTTCCCCCTCCCCGGGTTAGGGTTGAGAGACTACCAAAAAAAAAAAAAGGAAAAATCATCCAAAACGTCTCTCACATTTTATAAAATAACTTTTTTCGTCCCTCACTTTTAAAAGTGTAATTTTATGTCCCTTACATATTCACATCGGTCAAATTTAGTCCCTAACTAGGTTTTCAATCATTTTTTGGCAGGAATCCATCATGTGCAAGGCACGTGATCATTTTTTAAGGGTGAATTTGTCAAATTATATTTTACATAATTTGATCTATAGTCCTCCATATTTTATAAAATAAATTTTTTCGTCCCTCACATTTCACAAAATGAATTTATCTATCCCTCACATTTCAAAAAATAAATTTTTCATTTCTCACTAATTATGTGTGTGAATACATTTTTTTTAAACACATGTATATGTCTATTTGATTTTGCTTAATAATAATAGCATAAACACATGTGTGTAATTGGGCCCAATTTGTGGGTTATCTTCTCTTTTTGTATGATTATGACTAATATTTACCAATAGAATCTTAATTTGCATATTCTTATTGTATTTTGACCGAAAATAGCTTTATTGGCCAACTTGACAATGAATGCAAGATTTTTTACTAGCTAATACCAGATAAAATCAAATGATCACGTATAATATATGGTATTCATATTGTTAAGTGAAATCAAATAGACACATACATATATTTATGCTATTCGTATTATTAAGCAAAATCAAATAGACATATACATGTGTTTAAATAAAAATGTATTCACACACATATTTTTTTTTAGGGTTTCCCTTACACACATAATTAGTAAGGGGTGGAAATATTCATTTTTTGAAATGTGAGGGATGGAGAAATTCATTTTGTGTAATGTAAGGGATGAAAAAATCATTTTATGAAATGTGAGGGACGAAAAAATTTGTTTTATAAAATGTGGAGGACTATAGATTAGATTATGTAAAATATAATTTGACAAATTTACCCTTAAAAAATGATCACGTGCCTTGCACATGATTCGTTGCAAATTTACCCTTAGATTCGTTGGCGTTATTGGAAGGTTTGCGGTTATGTTATGCTCGGCACATCATGCACTTTGTGGCTGAGGTGGATTCAAGTGTTTTGGTGCGCATGGTCTCCTCTTGCGGCCCTGCCCGATGGCCTTTGGTCAACACTCTACGTCATATTCAATGGCTTTCAGGGCAAATGGGGGTCTCAGTGCCACATATCTATCGAGAAGCAAATACGGTAGCGGATGCCCTTGCGTGCTCGCGGCCTCAACAGGATGGCATTTTTACTGTCCGGGCTGAGCTTCCTCGGAAGGCCCGGTCCGCTCTCCAATTGGACAGGCTCTTAGTTCCCTCGATTCGGCTAGGCAGGGTCCGGCATTAGTTTCGCGTAGTTTTGTTTAGGCTTTTTTGGCTCTGTGTAACTTTGTTCACTCGGTGGCAATAAAAGTTGAGTTAAAAAAAAAAAAATCCCAAAAAAAAAAAAAAAAAACCTACTCTATCCTAATCTAGGGGGGAGGGGGAACCTAAGGAGGCTATGGTAGGGGGCTAGTGGGTGTTTGGATATTTGGGTGGCGGGTGGCGGTGGGTCGATGGATATTTGGGTCTATCCATTTTGGCGGCTAACTCTCCTTGAATCGGTTTTGCTTATAATAATATTTCTCTCTTCTAATAACTTCTACGTCTTTTAATAAATTTGAATGATTCTTTTTATTCATATATGGTAAATTTGTTTGGTGTGAAATCAATTGCTACTCTGATAAATTTATTGACTTTGTTAGAAACTAATGAATAAGATCAATGGCTACAATTTTTTGTTGTCTTTAACTAGAAAAATGCATATGAGTAGGTGGAGAATAATTGTAAAATTTAATTACTACCTCAAAGAATATATGATTCTTTATGCATTATAACATTTAATGAATATTATCATATTAGATTAAATTTAACTATAAAGTCTTTAAAAATTAATATGGTAGTTCAATACTTGGAATACGATAATTTTTTGATATTAATATGTAAAAATATTGTTGATGAACTATTTATGCAAAGTACTGATTCCTAACTAATCACAAAAAAAAAAAAATTGTTTTGTGCTAATGCGCGGGCTAAGTACTAGTTTTACTTGACAGAGATTATAAACATTTAGTAAAAATTCATATCGAAATACAACGCTTCTTCGTAAATTTTTTATTGCAGAATAACTTTTTAGGTCAGAGATATGAATTATGGATTAAGATGGCTATGTGAGTTTACTTTTACTACGATGATGATATTTTAATCTGTATGTTTTTTTTTTCTTTTAAAGTGTCTGCTGTAAATACACATTAAAATTTACACTTAATGGCTAAACTTAATTACCATAATCCAAAAGTTTTAGGTTGGCAATTAATGAAGGTCTCCTACGACTATATATAGACATCTTTCTATACTAAACAGGCTTTTGCACAAAGTTGCATGCAGCCCAATAATTAATGCACAAGAAGCATATGTTTACGAGGGATCAGTATTAATCAGAAATTAATTTATTTACTGCTCATCATACAGTATATGTTTTACTTTCTAACAAGGAGCCAATTAATCATAATTAACTAAACCAGCCACGGATTATTGATTGGCAATGATCGGCTGTGAATGTTAATCAGATAATTAATTGTATTTTTCGTTGATGCTGAGTAAGTATATATAATTCAACTCTTTTTCCTTACCAGACCGTTTTAGAAGAACAAGCAAAAAAAAAAAAAAGAAAAGGATTTGTTAAAGGATGGAATATCTTCATGACTTCTTGCATGGTTGAATATTTAGTTTAAAAATTAAAATAAACTTTTATTGAAGCAAGATCCAAACATCATTAGAAACTATTACAGGTAGTACAACAACATAGTACCTGCTTGAAACTTATGCTATAAAACTCATAACACTGTATAGATATAGCACTTCTCACCCAAAAAAAGAACAAAAAAAAAAAAGAAAAGACATAGCACTTTTATTCTATATATAATAGAACAGAATCAGTTTCTGCTCTTCTAACTTGTGCAGTATTTAGCCTTGTTCTTTTAGGGAGTCTTATCTAGCCTTGTTCTTTCGGTATGATACCCACTGCTTCCTGCGCCATTGTACCCACCACGGCCTTCGGTATTGTACTGGTTGAGGAGTCTTCTTCCTGCGGCAAATGAGAAACAACCTTTAGTATATGACCAAAATCAATGTACAGAAAACAAATGCGACGTCTGACATATATATATATATATATATATATATATATATATATATATATATTGTACCATTTGTACGTAGTTCGAGTGAAAAAATAATTTGATGATTATTTGAGGAAATGCAAGAATCAAACTCATTCGATCAAACTTAGCCGTTATGAGGTTTGGTCCACTTTTGTGTATAATATTTCTAAATGAAAAATAAGGCAGATTTCCTGGCTCAATTAATTGGCACATATATAGTAGTACAAATGCTTTTCTCTTTAAAGAAAAGATGAGTTCTAGGATATCTTTTGAATACTGTACTATTACGTATCAATTCATCGTTGGATTTATAAAAGGAAATATCAACCCTTAAATGATGTTAAAAGTTTAAGCTATTGAATAATGTGACAAGAATTTATTAAATTATAATCATGGGTATGATAATTAAAGGGGATGATAAAATTTCCCTAAAAAATAGCACATTTTTTGCAGTGTACTTATTTGCACATACCTGGACGAAGCTCTGGCATTGCCCCGTCAAGAACAGCAGCATTGACATGTGGAGTCCCAAGCATCAAGATTGCGATGAAACTTGCCCATATGATCAACAGGATTTGGCTTGCCTTAAGGGAAGCCATTGTTGCAGTAGTACACTTTGGCAACCACAAAATAGAACAAAGTATCAAGTTGGTGACTATGCGATCAGTTGTTAGTGAGATGGTAATGAAGTGTTAATTGCATAGCTATATTTATAGGTGAAGATTGGGGCTTTGTCTTTATAAGTAAATTTTTTGGATAAAAACAGTCGCAATAAGTAGAGAAGCGGATAAGACTTAAGAGACAGAAACCTTTGACTAAATGGAAAGGCCTTTAATTTTGAGCAATTGTTTAATCCGGCCGTCATTGATATTGACAAGTCAAGTCAAGCACAAATCTTATCACTATAACTGCCATCTCAAAAGTCATTCCAATATAATTACTCAAAGGATATTTCTATCGAGTCCTATTAAACACTCATCAACACATCTAAAATTTACTTTACCCAACACACACACACACACACACATATATATATATATATATATACATATTATAATTATTACCCTTTCTTATATTTATATACTTTTTTTTATTTTATCTTACCTATTATTTTTTGAATTTATTTATTTTTTTAATTAATCTTACATTTTTAAAAAATGTGATACCGTTAGATAGACTCTCACTCAAAAAATACAAAATCACAATTTCTTTTTTTACACAAATTTTCTCCCCCAAGTATCATTACAAAAGGAAAGTGAATCCCTCTTGTTCCGGTTTGCTCCCATCAACTTCGTGAGCGTGTACTTCATTGTCTATGATGTTATATGAAATGCTAAAATCTTTCCTTTTCCTTTTGTTTCCTTTTTTTTCCAGGAATATGCTTTTCACCCAGCCAATTGGACCCCTAAAAAATTTACAAGTAGCCATAACCATTGGTGTACTTCGCTTTCTATGGTGCTACATGAAATGCTAAAGTCTTTCTTTTCTTTTCTTTCCTTTTCTTCAGGAATATGCTTTTCACCTAGCCAATTGGACCCCTAGAAAATTTACAAGTAGCCATAACCATTAGTACAATATTTTTTGTGTACCGTAATATTGCGTATCAATTCATATAAAAAATTATATGATTTTAAGAGTTTAAGCTATTAAATTATGTGGCAAGAATTTATTAAATTGTAATCATGGGAATGATACACACGAACAGTAAATTTTCTCTAAAAAATAGTACAATTTTTGCAGTAGACTTATTTGCTCATTGCTACCATTTGTGCTATTTTCTCCCCCAAGTATCATTAAAAAAGAAAGGTGAATCCCCCTTGTTCCTATTTGCCCCCATCAATCAACTTCGTGAGCATGTACTTCGCTGTCTATGGTGCTACTTGAAATGCTAAAGTCTTTCTTTTCTTTTCTTTTGTTTTCTACGGGAATATGCTTTTCACCAAACCATTTGGACCCCTAGAAAATTTACAAATAGCCATAACCATTAATACAATATTTTTTGTGTACCGTAATATTGCGTATCAATTTATATAAAAAATTATATGATTTTAAGAGTTTAAGCTATTAAATTATGTGGCAAGAATTTATTAAATTGTAATCATGGGTATGATATATACGAATAGTAAATTTTCTCTAAAAAATAGTACAATTTTTGCAGTAGACTTATTTGCTCATTGCTACCATTCGTGCTATTTTCTCCCCCAAGTATCATTAAAAAAGAAAGGTGAATCCCCCTTGTTCCTGTTTGCCCCCATCAATCAACTTCGTGAGCATGTACTTCGCTGTCTATGGTGCTACTTGAAATGCTAAAGTCTTTCTTTTCTTTTCTTTCCTTTTCTACGGGAATATGCTTTTCACCAAACCAGTTGGACCCCTAGAAAATTTACAAATAGCCATAACCATTAATACAATATTTTTTGTGTACCGTAATATTGCGTATCAATTTATATAAAAAATTATATGATTTTAAGAGTTTAAGCTATTAAATTACGTGGCAAGAATTTATTAAATTGTAATCATGGGTATGATACATACGAATAGTAAATTTTCTCTAAAAAATAGTACAATTTTTGCAGTAGACTTATTTGCTCATTGCTACCATTTGTGCTATTTTCTCCCCCAAGTATCATTAAAAAAGAAAGGTGAATCCCCCTTGTTCCTGTTTGCCCCCATCAATCAACTTCGTGAGCATGTACTTCGCTGTCTATGGTGCTACTTGAAATGCTAATGTCTTTCTTTTCTTTTCTTTTGTTTTCTACGGGAATATGCTTTTCACCAAACCAGTTGGACCCCTAGAAAATTTACAAATTAGCCATAACCATTAATACAATATTTTTTGTGTACCGTAATATTGAGTATCAATTCATATAAAAAATTATATGATTTTAAGAGTTTAAGCTATTAAATTACGTGGCAAGAATTTATTAAATTGTAATCATGGGTATGATACATACGAATAGTAAATTTTCTCTAAAAAATAGTACAATTTTTGCAGTAGACTTATTTGCTCATTGCTACCATTCGTGCTATTTTCTCCCCCAAGTATCATTAAAAAAGAAAGGTGAATCCCCCTTGTTCCTGTTTGCCCCCATCAATCAACTTCGTGAGCATGTACTTCGCTGTCTATGGTGTTACTTGAAATGCTAAAGTCTTTCTTTTCTTTTCTTTTGTTTTCTATGGGAATATGCTTTTCACCAAACCATTTGGACCCCTAGAAAATTTACAAATAGCCATAACCATTAATACAATATTTTTTGTGTACCGTAATATTGCGTATCAATTTATATAAAAAAATTATATGATTTTAAGAGTTTAAGCTATTAAATTATGTGGCAAGAATTTATTAAATTGTAATCATGGGTATGATACATACGAATAGTAAATTTTCTTTCAAAAATAGTACAATTTTTGCAGTAGACTTATTTGCTCATTGCTACCATTTGTGCTATTTTCTCCCCCAAGTATCATTAAAAAAGAAAGGTGAATCCCCCTTGTTCCTGTTTGCCCCCATCAATCAACTTCGTGAGCATGTACTTCGCTGTCTATGGTGCTACTTGAAATGCTAAAGTCTTTCTTTTCTTTTCTTTTGTTTTCTACGGGAATATGCTTTTCACCAAACCATTTGGACCCCTAGAAAATTTACAAATAGCCATAACCATTAATACAAAATTTTTTGTGTACCGTAATATTGCGTATCAATTCATATAAAAAATTATATGATTTTAAGAGTTTAAGCTATTAAATTATGTGGCAAGAATTTATTAAATTGTAATCATGGGTATGATACATACGAATAGTAAATTTTCTCTAAAAAATAGTACAATTTTTGCAGTAGACTTATTTGCTCATTGCTACCATTCGTGCTATTTTCTCCCCCAAGTATCATTAAAAAAGAAAGGTGAATCCCCCTTGTTCCTGTCTGCCCCTATCAACTTCGTGAGCATGTACTTCGCTGTCTATGGTGCTACTTGAAATGCTAAAATCTTTCTTTTTCTTTTCTTTCCATTTCTTCTAGAAATATGCTTTTCACCTAGCCAATTGGACCCCTAGAAAATTTACAAGTAGCCATAACCATTAGTGTACTTCGCCGTCTATGGTGCTACATGAAGTGCTAAAGTCTTTCTTTTCTTTTCTTTCCTTTTCTTCAGGAATATGCTTTTCACCTAGCCAAATGGACCCCTAGAAAATTTACAAGTAGCCATAACACCATTAGTACAATATTTTTTGTGCACCGTAATATTACGTATCAATTCATATAAAAAATTATATGATTTTAAGAGTTTAAGCTATTAAATTATGTGGCAAGAATTTATTTAATTGTAATCATGGGTATGATACATACAAACAGAAAATTTTCTCTAAAAAATAGTACAATTTTTGCAGTAGACTTATTTGCTCATTGCTAACATTCGTGCTATTTTCTCCCCCAAGTATCATTAAAAAAGAAAGATGAATCCCCCTTGTTCCTGTTTGCCCCATCAACTTTGTGAGCGTGTACTTCGCTGTCTATGGCACTACTTGAAATGCTAAAATCTTTCTTTTTCTTTTCTTTCCTTTTCTTCCAGGAATATGCTTTTCACCCAGCCAATTGTACCCCTAGAAAATTTACAAGTAGCCATAACCGTTAGTGTACTTCGTTGTCTATGGTGCTACATGAAATGCTAAAGTCTTTCTTTTCTTTTCTTTCCTTTTCTTCAGGAATATGCTTTTCACCTAGCAAAATGGACCCCTAGAAAATTTACAAGTAGCCATAACCATTAGTACAATATATTTTGTGTACCGTAATATTGCGTATCAATTCATATATTGCGTATCAATTCATATAAAAAATTATATGATTTTAAGAGTTTAAGCTATTAAATTATGTGGCAAGAATTTATTAAATTGTAATCATGGGTATGCTGCATCCGAGCAGTAAATTTTCTCTAAAAAATAGTACAATTTTTGCAATAGACTTATTTGCTCATTGCTACCATTCGTGCTATTTTCTCCCCCAAGTATCATATTAAAAGAAAGATGAATCCCCCTTGTTCCTGTTTGCCCCCATCAACTTCGTGAGCGTGTACTTCGCTGTCTATGGTGCTACTTGAAATGCTAAAATCTTTCTTTTTCTTTTCTTTTCTTTTCTTCTAGAAATAAGCTTTTCACCTAGCCAATTGGACCCCTAGAAAATTTACAAGTAGCCATAACCATTAGTGTACTTCGCTGTCTATGGTGCTACATGAAATGCTAAAGTCTTTCTTTTCTTTTCTTTCCTTTTCTTCAGGAATATGCTTTTCACCTAGCCAATTGGACCCCTAGAAAATTTACAAATAGCCATAACCATTAGTACAATATTTTTTGTGTACCGTAATATTGCGTATCAATTCATATAAAAAATTATATGATTTTAAGAGTTTAAGCTATTAAATTATGTGGCAAGAATTTATTAAATTGTAATCATGGGTATGATACATAAGAACAGTAAATTTTCTCTAAAAAATAGTACAAATTTTGCAGTAGACTTATTTGCTCATTGCTACCATTCGTGCTATTTTCTCCCCCAAGTATCATTAAAAAAGAAAAGTGAATCCCCCTTGTTCCTGTTTGCCCCCATCAACTTCGTGAGCGTGTAATTCGCTGTCTATGGTGCTATTTGAAATGCTAAAATCTTTCTTTTTCTTTTCTTTCCTTTTTT